CATGCTGGACAAAAAATTATTCCACCTTTGGAGGTTTAGGCTATGGAACAAATATTTTCATCAATTTTCTGTAGAACACTTGGGCTACGAATAATTCCTGATATTTAGCCTTACATTTGCAGGAAATGCAAAATTGTTTTTGAAAATGAACTACTTTAAAWTTTTCAAACTGGTTAAAATTTAAAAGTCAAATGACACTAAGTTCTGGTACAGATTCATGGAATTGGAATCTCAGGGGGTGCCGTGGGAGCCATTGGTTCCTGCCCCTCTGGAGTGGCATTTGGAAGTGTCTTCTAGAGTAGAGGGTATAGCTACCAGAAACTCTTGCAGACACTAATGAGAATGTTCTCTGCAGCACTTTTCATCATGGCAAAGAACCAGAATGACTAAATAGCCATCAACAGGGGGATGGATAATGTAAATATGGTATATGGTATCCAGGGAACATTATTCCACAGATCACAGGAAGAAGTAGACCAGAGTTTCTCAAGCTCAGCACAATTAGGCCAGATAATTCTAAGTTGTGGGGATGACCTGTGCRCTGTGGGATGTTCAGCAACAAATTCAGCCTCTACTCGCTAGAAATCAGTAGTACTATTGCCAGTTGTGACAATCAAAAATACTTGTCTGTGTTGATCTTTCCATCTACATATTATTCAAACATGAGTTTCATGGTATTCCCTATTGGGGAGAGAATACAGCTGTAAACAAAGCCCCTTTTCCTGTGCACCTTGCTTTCTAAGGGAGGAGAACCAGAAGACCAACCAGTAAACACATGCATTCACTTAGGGGAAGCACAAGAGCTAAAAAGGAAAATTCAGCAGTAGAAGGATATAGACAATTCCATCAATGCACCTCTGACCCCAAATACTCTCCTCTGTCCCCATTACTACACCATCCCACACCATGAATTCAAGTTATTTAAATTTATTCATTGTTCCCACTGGGTGGCAACTCATAGAGTATTATAGTACCTCAGCAAACACAATGAAAATGTTTTATCTATTTAGTCATAAAGATTTCCAAAAGATTTAAATTGTTGCTGAAAACATTAAACCCTCAATTTTCAAGTGAGATAGTAATTGTTAGGTACAAAAARTTCCTGGACTAAAACTCTAAAAATCAAGCTTCCATCTTGAAATTTACTACTTAACGATTGCTAGATTTGAGACAAGTCATTTCATTATACATGAAGTATAAGAAGGGCTTAATCTCTTAGTGTGCCAGTGGGGGTGTGCTATTAGGATTTTAGTTGTGAAACTCCTTGTTATGTGGAATTGTCCCAAGTTTTGCATCATGCTGGTCGTTTCTCACCCTGACCATGTAAAAACCACAGTACTCTCCAGCCATAGATATAATCCCTAACATACCCCATGTCCATATGCTCCATGTGTAGAATCACTACCATACCCAAGTAAAAAACACTTCTTGTTTTTAATTCTTTTTTAAAAAATTTATTTATTCCATTTTGTTATACATGACAGCAGAATGTATTACAATTCATATTACACATATAGAACACAAATTTTCATATCTCTGGCTGTATATAAAGTATATTCACACAATTTGTGTGTTCATACATGTACTTAGGGTAATGATGTCCATCTCATTCCACCATCTTTCCTACCCCCATACCCCTCCCTTCCCCTCCCTCCCCTTTACCCTATCTAAAGTTCCTCCATTCCTCCCTGCTCCTCCCCACCATCCCCATTATGGATCAGTATCCTAATATCACAGAAAACATTCAGCATTTGGTTTTGGCTTACTTCACTTAATATTCTTCAACTCCATCCATTTACCTGCAAATGCCATGATTTTATTTGCTTTTATTCTTTATCCATTCATCTACTGAAGGGCATCTTGTTTGGTTCCACAATTTAGCTATAGTGAACTATGCTGCTATAAATATTGATAGGCTGCATCCCTGGAGTATGCTGTTTTTAAGTCCTTTGGGTATAAACCAAGGAGTGGGATAGCTGAGTCTTAACTTCAAAAGTTTCAAGATAATGAAAAGGAAAACAGAAACTGTCACAAAGTGGATCAGAATCAGGAGAA